AGGAGCGCTGCTGCGCTCCCAGCGCCACACTCTCCCGAGTGCGCCATGGGCTCGGCCCTTTATGCCTTTTTAATATTGTTATTTTTAAGTGAAATAATAAATATTTAAGCTCTCAATTTAAACTTTTAATATACTAAATATTAATAGATATAATCCACATAAACCAAAACTCTTTGGGGTCCTTAATAATTTTTAAGAATGTGGAGAGAGATTGAGACTGAAAAGTTTGAGAACGTGCTGTTCTAACCAATACAATGAGAGAAGAAATAGAAATAAGAGGCCTAATTATTAAAGAGGATATGAAAATTTAATTTGCATATAATATGATAATATACCCAGAAACTTCAAGAGAATGCTATGAGAATAAGGGCGATAAATATGTCAGTAGATTAAAAAATCCTAATAAATAAAATATTTTTCCTATACACCAATTAGAAAATAACATGAAAAAAACTCATTTAAAATATACTCAGCTATAAAATGTACTCTTCCAGAAGTAAACCCGAAATAAAGGTAAAGGACCTGTAAAAAGTTATAAATTCTTTATAGGACTTATAAAAATTTTACTTAGGGGCTTTAAGTAAGACCTCAGTGAAGACAATGACATACCTTGCATATTCCTGATTGGACAATAAAACTGAAATAATGTTAATCCTTTCCAAATTTAATTTCTAGCCTTAATACTAATCCCAATGGGATATTTTAAAAACTAAAAGGGTTTTAACTATAAGGAAAACAAATATATATGTGTGTGTATATATGTATACACACACGTATATACACATACACACGAGGGTACTTCAAAGAGTTCATGGAAAAACAGAAAAGATAATATGAACCTTTCCATGAACTTTCTGAAGACCCTTCATATGTAAAACTAAGGAGTAATTTGGAGAACCTGTCTTATCAAATGTAACATACATTGAAAAGGTAAATTATCAAAATAGTGCAGAACTATAACCAAAAAAAAAAAAAAGAACTACAACAGAATGATGGAGAACATGGAAACAAATCCTAGAATGAATATAAGAAAGTTAATATGCCCACATCACAAATCAGTGGGTAAAGGGAGAACTGTTGAATAAACAGTGCTGGGAATGTCTCAACTATCTGGAAAAAATCTAGATAATCACCTCACATAATATACCAGAATACATAAAAGATTATTTAAATGTAAGAAAACAAACAAGCCAATAGAAAGAAAATGTAGGTGAATAATTGATCCTATCTTGAATTCTATGAGCCTAAAACAATAAGAGAAAACACAACAGTAAAGGCTAATAGATTTGATCATGTAAAACATAAATTTCATCTGTGTCAAAACAAAGAAAATTAAAAGGTGAATAAAAAATTAGGGAAAATATCTGTAATACATATGAATGAGAAAAGTTTAATATGTTTAATTTAGTTTTTTTTTTTTTT